TGGAAGAATGTACGAGTTATAACATCTTAGAAATCCGGTGCTCGGCGAGTGTCTCACTGCTATCTCTTCTCGTATTATTTTAATTAAGTTAGCAAGCTCTTTTCCAGTTGATTTCAAACAAGTAAACAACAACTCATTTTCCTCACTTCATACACACAAATGCATATCATTTGTATGTATGCAATGAGGAAAATGAGTTATTTCCTTGTTTGAAATCAACAGGAAAAAAGCTTGCTAACTTAATTAAAATAATACGAGAAGAAGTAGCAGTGAGACGCTCGCCGAGCACCGGATTTCTAAGATGTTATAACTCGTACATTCTTCCAAAGCAAGGAGAAACACTTGAAGAGAAGAAAAGTATGCTGATTGACATTAAGCTGAGAATGTATGACAAGGAAGATGATATTGCTGTCAACGAAAAACGACAAAAACAACTAATAGTTAAGTTAAGAAGAGACAATTGTTACATTGTAGGATTTTTTAGTCAAGGGATTTGGAAGGAGTTCAAAGGGGATGACAAACTGATAGAGAATGCAAGTCTCCTTTCTTTCACTGAAAACTACAATAATCTGGAGTCAAAGGCGAATAAAAAAATATTAGGACTCACACTCGGAAAAGAACCTCTCATCACTGATGTCTCAGATCTTCTTCACAACACAGATGAGAGAACAATGTCTGCTGCTTTGATGGTTTTGATCTTAACCATACCCGAATCCATCTAGTTTCATATCATATTTCATCACATTGTAGAAGATTATGAGCGTGGTGTACAAGTAACAGCGAAAATGAGTTTAATGGTAAAAGAGTGGAGCAAGGCTTCAGGACATACTGGTTGACAAACTTGAAGCCATAAAACATTTGGCAGTTCTTCTGAATGTTTCCATGATGGAAAAGTTAAAATAGTTCTGCTGAGATTCAATTCTTAGTTAATTTAGTAGTAGTGGATACTATTAAAGTTTAAGTTTATACTCCGTAGTATTTAGTACTTGGTTCATACTCAAAAAATGTTTATCAACTTTTTCTTCATTGGGTTTTGCTTTGGGGGTCTTGTATGTTTGTATCTTTAACTCATTTCATTGTTTATTTTTGTGGAAATGACACACTTTTAATGCAATACTTTAGTTTTTTAGACTATTTGAAATTTGTTTAAAATAGGATTATTCTGAGTTTAAATCGGGTCATGATCATCCAAGGATCAATATCAGACCTTAAAATTTCAAGGAGAGTGCAAGAAGACAAGTCAAAAAATGATTTGGAAAATTTATTCTTATACCTAGTCACCACAGGCCATACCAGATCGGGTATTTGATTGATTCAAGTGTCTAAAGTAAATCCACGGAACAAATGATCATGAAGAATACTTTGTGAAAATTTGCCTTATACCGATGAGGTAAATCGATATACCGGATCGGATATCAGCCCCTGTGTAACCTCCAAATTAATACCCAAAATAGATGCTAATAATAGCAAGTTCAGAAAGAATTTCCCAAAAATATTGGAGTTAAAAAGAATTTCCATTGTAGCGGGATGAAATAGTTGATAGGTGTTACCGTCACACTTTGTTCTTACTTAACCAGGTGCACATGCCAAACTACAACCCAAAAATAATCCAAGTATTTAAAGATTTAAATCTCAAAAACAAATTAAATGTCTACGGATGTTTTTAGGGAAATTTCCTAGGATACGACTAAAACTCATTGAGTTTCCTAAATATGACTAACTAAGTTTTTAGACATGTATGACCGAAAAATTCAAAAAAAAAAGAAAAATTGATTGTAATAATCTCAACCATTAGCGGTCCGCTCATAATAATCCCAACTATCGATTATTTTAGAATAATCTCAACTTTATGGATCTTCCGCCAATAATGATCCGATGTGACCGACTATAAATAAATTCTTATAGTTTCTAAAGAGATATAGCAGGTAATCCCTATAAATAATCCCAAATTTTAATTTTTACGTTTGATTTTTATTAAAAATTCATTTGTTAGAGTAGTAATATGCGGTCATGGACCATTATTGGCGAACGGTCCATATAGTTGGGATTATACAAAAATAATCAATAGTTGAGATTATTGTTAGCGGACCGACAAAAGTTGGGATTATTATTTTCAATTTTTCCAAAAAATAAAATTTCATTTATACTTCCTCTGTCCCTTATAACTTTGCCAATTTTGACCAGTACGGGGATTAATAAAGTAAAAACCGTATAGTTGAGGTTTGTGCAGAAGAGAATATTAACTGGAACCACAAATTTTTTACTTAAAATGAAAAGTGGCAAAGTTAGTGGAACATTCAAAAATTAATGTTGGCAAAATTTTAAGGAACGGAGGGAGAATTTAAATGTTGAATGACAAAAGTACCCTTATTTAAAACATGTGCATTTTACACTAATTTCATCCAATTAAATTACTGCACTTTATATTGCCACAACTGCAGGATATTACTGCACATCCGGTAATAATCACTGCACTTCCGCCAAAATTAATTTTCTTCTAATTGTAATAATTAATACTACGAGTATAAATACTTTTGACAATGTAATTCAATGTTTTTGTCCAAAATAATGCAACAAAATCCATCAAAATAAAAACATTGTTATTAACATTACATTACTAATAATGAGGCAATTTTTATTATTTTTATTTTATTATTAAAGAAAAAATTGCCAAAATAAATAATGATATGCTTTTCAAATATTAATTTATTTGGATGAACTTGCAACATCAAACATTAAATAAAAAAGCTAAAATATTCCGTATTAAATAAGAAATTGGAAAGTAAAACTGTAAAACAAGAACTTATGTAGATAGCAATATGAGTAAATTCCCAAAATGGGACCAAAACTTAGGAAAAGTGCCACAATAGGACTACTACTTTTTCGTGTGTTATCGTAGGACCAAAACTAGGTTGGAATGTCAAAAATGCCCTGCAAAGCCCTTCGGAGTGAGTTCGCAAGCTGCAAACTCTGCGATAAATACGGCTACGATGAATACCGACTCTGATGAACGGTGACCTTGCTACATGCTCAGAGGAGCTTCTTCTTCTCATGCTATGTTTTTCTCTTCTTCCACATTTCATCCCTTTTCTTCTTCTTTTGAATTTCCATTTTGTTATTAATTTTGATTATCTTACTTTAAACCATTCTTATTATTTTTCTCATGATTTGAATTTGAAAATGCCATAATAGGTCTTTTATTGAACACTAACCTCAAAATAATGTCACTGTTGTGGCAAATATTTATCAACATGACAGTTTTACTCTACAGGTTAATTACATTTTCAGAGTGAAATTGTCAGTTTCAAAGAGTTAAGAGTAACACAGACAATTCGATGACATTTTCAAAACAAACATGGCATTTTTAAAAGGTGAAGAAGGAGGAGCGATTGTCAGGTTTTTAGGTCTATAAATGTCATCTTCATGACATTTCATGACATTTTTAAAAAGTTGAAGGAGGAGCGAATGTCAGTTTTTCACGTCTGTAAATGACATCTTCATGACATTTCATGTCATTCTTAAAGAGGTGAAGAAGGAGGAGCGACTGTCATGTTTTTTGAGAACCAAAATGACACTTTTTAAAAACAAAAACACTGGAAGAAGAGCATGCAGAAGAAGAAGAAGAAGAAGAAGAAGAAAATATAGAAGTAGGAAGAGCACTATGTATGAAGAACACCTGAAATTATGAAATCAGTGTTGATGCGCCATTATTAAAATTTGAAAGATGAATGTTCCGATCAGATCAAAGAGGAAGAGAAAAGATGAAGGAGTGGCAGATATGTTTCCAATTAAATCAGAAAAGGGGGAAGATGAGCGTGAAATTTCTGAAGGAAAAAAAAAAGAAACATAAATGAAGTGAGGAGAGGAATTAGCTGGGAATTGCGGAAGAAGAAGATGCAGGTGCAGGGATAAAGGATACGAGCAGGAGAGAGCGAAGGGCTTTTTCGACATTACAGAAACGACGACAACTCAAAATAGGAGCGGATGACTCCTATAATGGGAAAAAACATGGTAAGTCCTACTTTGACTTTTTGTCTATGTTTTGATCTTAGGGCAAATATTTCTAGCAATATAGCATGAGTGCAGGACCGGCGAAGAAGAAAGAAGACCAAGGAAGCGGTAAAGAACTAGAGACTCAAACTGGACATTGAAGAAGAATAAAAAGGAGAAGAAAGAAGGAAGAGAAGGAATTGAAGAGCAGGGAAGAGACAAGAAGAAAAGGGAAGAAGAATAAGGAAGAAGACCCGGCCGACAACTTCTCCGTTGACGAAAAGCAATCCGACGATGATAAAGGGCAGACCGGCAATGAACACATGGCATCTCAAATCAATACCGTCCAGAAGAATTACTCCAACTCGCTCCATCTTTGCAAGCCGGATATGGGTGATATGCGGCGCACACACATTTCAGTTGTTGGGAAAACTGAGAGAAAACAAAAAAACTAACAGTTTAAGGAGAAAGATATTGTTTCACAGCATAAAAGACGACGAAAATAGAAGGACTATCATGCGGTGCGGGAATGATGGGTACAAGATTTCTTGGAGCTGCTCTCGTCTGGACTTGCGATTACTCTTGTCCAAGGAATCCGTAACAGTTTAATTAAGGAGAAAGATATCTTCAAATATTCGAAGTATTCCGTAAACAGTTACGAGGAATATAATAAATGATGAAATTTGAGTCGGATGAATATATTTGGCATAGTTCATTGATACTACTATATCGAACGAGAACAAATACAAATAGGTAGATTCTATGGTACCCTTAAGGTAGCATATCTTTGTCCACATGGAGCGATCAGAATGTTGCGGTTGAATTATTTAAATCTAAATTCAAAATGATATTATGATTTGGACCAATCATGTGAGTGGTAGGTATGATACCCCATTTTTTAAATGGATACCGTAGTTGTCACCGTAAAAATAAAGTAAATCATAGACTAACTGATACATAATTAAAAGATACTCGTATGAAATCGTAAGTAATTCAGTTGGATCACTTACTCCGAGTATCCATCGTTTTGATCCATCATATCAACTTGGCTTGTAACTCTACGAATGTGAAAAGCTGATGTAATCGAGCTGAGACATAAGCATTACTCCGTAAGTAGTACTCCGTATACTTTTAGCATTATTCAAAATAGTATATAATTATACTCTAGAACACATTTAAATCAAGTAGTTTCACATATATTAATGTATATATATGGAACATTTATATACCCCTAAATTATGTGACAAGGGACATGCATACAGCCTTTCTTTTAACTCTTTACTTTGATTTTTCCTTCATCAATATACTGGGTTTCTTATCCTAGCTAGCTACTTGATTATTTGGAGTTGAAACCCCAGACAAAATGAATGTGAAACTAAAGACTAACCCAGAAACAGAGAACGCAATGAAAGGTACTGGAGATCGTAGTTCCAAACTAAAACCTGCACGCATTTATGATATTCGTCGTCATTGAGAAGAACCAAAACTTGTGAAGAATAGAATGTGGGTTATATATTGAGAGCGAAAGAGCTAGAAAAATGCTTATTTAGACAGAATGTTGGTTTGAGAGCTTCTTTCTAGGTTTTGGGTACTCCCAAATTTCTGGACGTCAACATTGTGCCTGATTACTGGTCCACATAATATTATATAATTTTCCATTATAAATTTTTAAATGGCTTATGAAAGTTTGCTAAAATAATAAGAAAAAAAACGTAGTCAACAATGATGGTCAAGGTTCTTGATCTCTCTCCATTTACTCAGGCTTATGAGAGGATAGCAATGAGGGAAAAAAGGAAAAGCACTGCATACTTTTTCACACTATTGGCTTAATTTTAATTACATGAGTGCAGAATAATCGTACAAATAGAATTAAGCTTCTAGAATGTTGAAAACCATAACAAAAAACAACTTTTTTTATGAATAAAAGGAAAATATATATTTGTATTTAATAGTACAGCATACCTTGTCTGTCTCTGAGCTCTTAAAGCAACTTCATGTTTTTTCACTATCTTCTCTCATTAGACATTATAAAGTTTTGCAGCGGTGGTTATACTTAAGTTAGAATTATGGAGTGGTGGAACCAGGACTCTTGATTTGCGGGGCTCGATTAACAAAGAAATCATATACATCACGAAGAAATTATTCTATTCGAGGCTTTTTGACATTATTTTCAACGTTGGGGTGATATTATCTGAGGAAGAAATTTTATTATTCGATGAAGAACCATCAATTTTGGATAAAATCGTAACATAGACATTCTTTCTAAAAGAACCTTGAAATACTACAATTAAAGCAATTATAAGAATTTTTTTAGCTCGCGATTATAAGAATTAACAATTGATTAATTGTTAATTTTGAAATACTACAAAAAATTAAAATTAACAATTACTAAATTAAAATTAACCTTTAACAAATATTTTTCAGCCCTACAACATTACTATTTACCGACCATTACAATTTACAAATACTATCTGAGGGCTTCTGGTTTGGGGCGCACCTGGTTTGAGATTTGAGTGATTGAGGGTTGATGGGTCATGGGCTTAATTATTTGGGTTGCAGCCTGTAGGGGTTGGTTAATTAAATTTAATATATATTATATTATACTTCGTATATATATAAAAAAGAAATCTGCAGGGGCTGGCGCACCCCCACGCCCCTGGTTAGTTGACTTACTTCCGCCACTGGAACTATGTGCTCACCATGTTTATCCGATGTAAGTGATACATATATATATATATATATATGTATGTATGTATATATGTATATATATATATATAGGGAATGATTCAGGTAAAAAGAGGTCTTAACGTGCAAAGTGAAAAGTTTACACTTTTTCATGTTTCGCCTGCACTTTTTCTCTCGAGAATTCCAGACATGAACTTTTGTCTCTATATATATATGAACTACGTACAGGCTACTTCCAACATGGTAGCTAGATCCAAGAACCTCGGCAACAGTGCATTGATGCAATACTAATCTAATGCTAGTACTACCTCCGTCCCGGAATTATCTCCTTATTTGACTGGGCACGGGTTTTAAGATAGTGGAAAATGTGTGGTAGAAAATTGTGCAGAGGAAAGAGAAATGTGTAAGAATGGTTGTGAACCACAAATTCTTTACCAAAAAAGGAAAGAGAAGATAAAATTGGGACGGACCGAAAAGGAAAGAATGAAAATAATTTCAGGACGGAGGGAGTAATAAGTTTGGTCAAAATATTGATGTGAGATTGTCTTTTTTCTTTTTTAGTGAAATGGATCAGCAAAATATACTTCGTATAGTATAAGGGGGTGTTTGGATTTGATTCTTAAAACTGCTTCTGCTCCTTCAGGGAGCAGAGGCAGAAGTTGGAGTGTTTGAGTAAAAGACAGAAGTGATTCTGGTGCTCTAATTTACTCATAGAATCAGTGTTTTTATAAGATGGGGGTGACCATCTTTTAAAAAGAAACAGAATCATAATTAGTTCCAAACACCCCTTAATATGACCAACTTTGGGAGATGGATATGCATGTACAAGCTCGGCAACTATACGGAGTAATACTTTCTATGTCAAATAAAAATCTCTGCAACAATAAGTTTGGTCAATTTCTATGTTGGCACGTAATCAGACTTTCAGACTTTAACTTTTTTCCTTTTTAGTGAAATAATTAATGTACTCATCAACAAAACGATCAGCATGTAGAAGTACTAGCTACTAGGCTACATACTACGTACAGAGTATAAAATTGCTTTCTGTTCACGAACTATACTCATCTTCTTACTCTACGTAGTACTTGGCGCGTGCATCGCGCGACGGTTAAAGTCTAATCTTAGGGAAAACGAGAAAGTTGCATTGTATAAGAAAGATGTGAAAATTTATTTTATTCAATTTTATGGAGTTGTATTGGTTATGGTTAGCCTATGCACCGAGTTACGTGAGAACCGGATGTGGCAATAACGCCCCTTATTTCCTAGGTAAATAGTTTTTTTTTCAAAAAAGTTCCAAATAAAGAAGTTCTACACACACGGAGTATAATCTAATGTTTTGACCAAGAAAGTATACGTCTGTTTCAAAAGGTATTCCAAGAAAAGAAGTCGTTCTACAGACGGACTAAATTTGTTTTGACCTAGAAAGCATACACTTGTTTCAGAATATTTTCCAATAAAAGAAGCCATCTACATACAGACTAAATCTGCTTTGACCTAGAAAGTATACATCTATTTCAAAAATCAGAAAAACAAAACGGAAAATCAATTGTTTCTAGTTCAAATAGTTCAATTGGGTGTTTATTATGTATGCATAAAAGAAGGCGTAAAACTTAATTACCCGATTACAGTCCTCAAGCCAGCCCTCTTCTTCGCAAACGAACACCCATTTCGCAACCTTATCCAATATTCTTTTCTGCTCAGGACCTCTTCTTTAGCTCCTATAATCTGGTTATCCATATCAGCCAATAGCCTCATAGGTTCAACCTTGAGGTTTTCTAAGAAAATGAAAATAAACATTCTAAATAATGAAGTAGATTATAAAATGAGAACGAGTTAGTTAGTTAAACATACACTAAAATAGAAAAGTAAGATTTGATATATCATAACATCACATGAGTTCCTATTAATTGTATCATTACCACGTAGTAATGAGAGGCCCAAAGGAGGCCACATCGTCAAACGGAACATTAGACGGAAGATGGCGAAGGTTGGGCACTGTATACACGGAAATAGGCCAACTAACTTCCTTAGAGCTTTTAATAGTATAATAGGATATATATATATATATATATATATACACTCCCTCCAAAAAAGGTTCGCCAAATCGATTTTGTTGTCAATGACATCCAATTTTGACCAATGATATTTTTAATACGAAATTATTTTGAATATGAAAATTATATCAAAATGTTCCTTATTCAAAACATTTTCATAAAAGTATATTTTTTTTACTCTAGGTGGGTTTGGGGGAGGGAGATTAGATGGGGGTCCTGAAGTAATCAGGGCTGAAACTCACTTCAGTTTCAAACCCTTATTGTGCCTAGCGGGTTTCGAACTCGAGACCTTCAACTAGACACGATAACCTCACAACCAGCTAGACTGGAATACTTGGTTTTTTCATAAAAGTATATAATTTATATATTATATACAAATATAATAATTAAAATCATTGACCAAAATTCATCATCATTGTCAAGAAAAGTCAATTAGCAAACCTTTTCGACGGATGTAGTATATATATATAGGCCCACATTTCTCTTAATTCAATTCTTTCTCGTACTGGGACATATACCTATACTCCTAGTCTCTTACCTAAGGCCCTGTATTTTTATCATTTGATTTGGCAATTGCTCAAGACCCAAAAGATATGCCACAAAAGACAACCTTTTCAACATGATAAAAATATATACGGAGTATATGTATGTACACATAATGCACATTGTATTGCACATTTTCTTATTTATGTTGTGCATGGTTCTATTTTACATAATGCACTAACTCTAAATTTGTTGATTGAGAATAGGATGTGGTTCCAAGAGACCACTCCATAACGTGAGAAATTAGAATATTCTAAAATCATGTACATTATGGTTCATATATGAAAATGCACATTTATAATTAAAGTAATGCAAAATTTAAATTTGCACATTTATGTTAAACTTTTGTACATCTTGAAATGTACATTATCCAATTTTTTTATATGCATTTCTATTTTGCACGATGCGCGATACCTAAATTCAACGCTCCAGAATCATTCTCGTTTAGCTTAATTTACTAGTTAACCTACAAACTAATCATGATCACTCGTTTAGATTAGATTATCGTATGTTTCATTTAGCCAACTAATTAAAAGTCAGTGTGTTTCGGTCAATTACTCAACTTCTATTATGGAAATTTCAGGCCAGGATTGGAATTATCCCTTCTTCTCCGAGTCATATCATATAATATGTCGTTGAAGTCTCCGATCAACATCCATGGAAACCCATTATCCTGTGCCAAGTTTCGGATCAAGTCCCAAGCTTCTCGCCTTCTGCTCATTTCCGGGAAGCCGTAGAACCCCATCAGCCGCCACCACTGCTCCCCCTCAACCAACCGCAGTCTTCAATGGACGAAATTTCCTTGGTTGCCAATGACTTTCAGTTCAACGCCTTTGTTCCAGGCCAGTAACAACCAATCACTCTGCCCTTCGCTATCCAATCTAATAATGTGTTGATCACCGTACGATCGGATCATCTCCTTCGCTCGCTGACACCACACCTTCGTCTCCATGAAGAAAACGATGGATGGACGATGTACTTGCATTGGATCAAATCCGTCAAACACTGAGTGGTCGCCGGCCTGCCTAGCTAGACCCCTGCAATTCCAGCTCAAAACACTCATCCTATTCTGTCAAAACCCAGCATGGTATACATGCCGGCCACTAAGAAATTCGCCGCCAAAAAATATGTTAGGGATAAATTAGAATAGATTAACCTTGTGTATGAAGATATTAAAATGTGTACAATTGTTGTTAAAATAATGTACACTTCAAATGGACATTTTCTAATGTATGATATTAAACGGTTTTGTTTTACATAATATATGGTATCGAAATCTGACACTCCAGAATCATTTTTTTTTTCTCTCATAAGATCATGTTCTCATTACACATACTTTACTTTAATGTTCAAATATTGCTCCTTCCCGCGGTGCCAAAATATTCACATATTTACACAAATATATTTTACTGACAACTTTATGTCGCTAAGTTTCATGATATATATGGAAGTGTCATTAATACTGACACTTTCTCTATGACACTGAATTCGGTGTCACAATTTCTGACCTTTTTGTGGCATTTATCGTGTGTCAGTAAAGCTTTTACTTAAACTAATTTCGTGTCACTATAGATTGTTTTTCTAGTACCATCATATTTTAATATAATCTTATTCAATAGTGACCCTTTCGGAGTCATCCTATGTAAAATCTAATGCACGAAAACGATTATTCTCATTTTTCAACGTTAAAGACTAATTTTTATTGGATGCAATATGTGTGTATTAGGATTTAGGAACCATTATATTAGGAGTAATAATTGCAACATTGTATCCCTCTATAATAAAATGTTGCAATTACTGCTAATAGTATGATACGTACTCACCTTCGTAGTTTTCATTTATTTGCAAATATATTCTCTTTAGAATCTTATATGAGTAAATTACCGAAATAGGAATAAAGTATGGCTAAAAATCACAAATAGGATTACATTATTCAAAATTCACTAAACATGACTAACTTTGTGTGTTTGGATAAATATACCCCTATACCTTGCTAGACTGTCCATCCCAACCACCGTCGTTGGCCTCCGGCCTCCGGTCTCTGGCCACCGCCTAACTACCCTGCCTACCATCTCTGTAGGACTTCTCGGTCACCAACGGACTGCCTCGGTTGCCCAAAGGAACTAGGGGGTGATATGCACTAACTAGTAGTGCATAAGTGTATGTTTTTATGTTGAATTTGTGTGTATTGTTTATCGTTTTATTTAGTTTGTAAACATTTGTGTGATTTTAGTTGTAATTGTATTTTAATCTTCATTTATAAGTTGTAAAGTAGATTTAGGATTTATGGTGTTGGAAAAGAGGACTTTGAAGAGAAAAAAACAAGAAATTTGACTGCTCAGGAGCAAAACCTGACCGGGTAGAAATCCCCACCCGGTCGGGCAAGATTTAACAACCCAAGAAGCAAGGAAATTGCCAGACCCGGTCGGGTCAGACATGACCCGAGACAAATCGACGTGCAGAAACATGAGAACATGGTGGATTATCTGATTTTGATCGGACCCGGTCGGGTAGGCACTTGACACAGTCGGGTACCCGGCCAAATGTGTTGAAAAACACATATAAATAGCACACTTTTTCTTCTCTAAAAATCATCTCTTCTTCCATACTTTTAAGCTCAATTTAGAATAGCATTTCTTTATATTTTTCTAGCTATGTTTAGTCTCTAAATGATGAGCTAAACTTTCATTCTTGGTGTTGCTCTTGAAGCTTGTTGATTATTAAAGTTGTGAGTTATTTTCTTAATTTCTTCCCTTGAATATTAATTATTAGTTCTTTCCTTAATACTATCTCTATATTAATGTTGGGGAGTGTTGCTAAGATGACAATTAGTTAACATCTTGACATTAGTTAAGTAGTATTTTTTTCTTCCTCTATATTAATGTTAGGGAGTGTTGCTAAAATGACAATTAGTTAACATCTTGATATTAATTATAGTAGGATTCATCTCCTTTAATAATATTCTTCCTTGAATATTAATTAATTCATATTCATATTTCATATTCATATTTTGAACATTACTTAAAGGATCAACTAGTTTTGTTTCATATATTAATTATTACTAGAAACGATCGACGAACCGATAGTTAATCGTTGATGATTTCACAAGTAAGTAACTTCGGTTTATTAATGCACGGTCGTGATTGATAAACTTAAGATGGATTAATTTTGTTGGTTAAACAGAAACCGTTGTGTTGAGGTTATCAATCTCAATTGATTTCATCAAGGAGTTAAGAGATTATATGCTACTATATGGCGGTGTTCTATACTTGACTAATAGTAAGGGTTATTAATGAACGGTCGTTGTTAATAACTACTCTCGTTGAATTGGATACACTCCTCGATTGAGTATTCGAGAGGGACGAAGTTATAAATATAACGATGATCGACTAAAATATATCAACAAGTGGAAAGTAGCAATGTCAAGTTCTTTTATCTTTGAATTAAAACACATATAGGTTGTTCATCTTAGTTTTTAAATTAAATCATTCAATCCTAAAACCCACATTTTATTTATTAGTTTCATAAAAAGAGAATTATTCCTTTCCCTGTGGATACGAACTCTACTTCACCTATACTACGTATTAGTTCTAGTATTGAATTTATTTTGACGCACCGTGACAAAGTGTCTGTCATTGGGCAATTAATTAACTAGATTAGGGATATTACGGGTAGAAAATTAATGATTAATCTTATTTGTGAAAGATTTAGGTTTTAGTCCTATATATTTGTGCAATTATATTTCCCTTTAGTCCTATTTAGGGTAATTACAATTCTCATTGTCCCCCTATAATTGTCCCATTTTTTTCATTCGTGGATGTCCTCATATTATTATCTCATACCATATTTGGTAACATTTGTGTGGCTCTAATTCATTCTTACTTTATTCCAACTTTATCAACTTATTATCAACCACATAACTCTACTTTTCTTAAAAATCACATCACTCTCTTCCGTCCCAATATTAGAGGGAGGAAGTAGAAATTTTTTATTTATATGGGATCAAGCAAAATATATCGAATAATTGAGGCAGGCCATATATATTTTAAAAAAGAGACAATACTATTGCGGAATATAAATTTACATTGAATTTGATCATCATTACATTTTATTCACATTAATGCGTAGGCAAAGATGCATTTGAATTGCTTGTACTCATAGCCTATCATATATATGTCCATTGTGCATGTGACTGAACCAAGTTATGTCAAGCATGACTCGACCATATTAATTAAACTAGTACAACATGAAACCAGATCAAACTAGTTGAGATTCTTGAAGGCACACCAAAGCAGT